GCATTATCCCTCTACTGCCGTCTGTCAATGTTTGCACTTTTGTTTAGCCTGAGCCGCTGCTGCGTGGGCGTGGGCGTGGGGTGGGGTGGGGTGGACGAGAACCGTAGCTATAGCGCGGAACGTGTCGACGTCACAGCCAGTGCAAGAGGCGGAGGAAGTGGCAGTAGCAGTGGCGGTACCGATGGCAGTGGCAGATCCTCTTCGTTGACGACAAGTTAATCACATCGTGTCCAATCAGGCGAGCTAATCCCTCTGACAGGCTGCGCCGCTGCTGCGCTTCGCTCTTAACTTTGATATTTTCTTTTCCATATACTCTACCTATCAAGCAGTAGACGGTACTGCGGTTTGGATTCACTATATACAATCACAGTAATACTCGTACCCAAAGGAAACTACTTCTACAATCAAAATATGAGAAATACATCAAATCCAATCCAATGTTTACTATGTACTTGACAGACACAACAGTGCATTTTTATTGTACTGCCATATGTACCTTCGTTAAGAGACTGCACAGCCAACCCTCGGCGTAAGGGTATCAAAACTTCGACAAAGGGGAGGTTAACGGATTCCCTCGCCTCTGATTATTATTACTATTATGGATGTAAACCTCGCAACATCTGCTGCATATCAATTTGTGGCCTCCATCCGAACGCTTAACCTGATCCATGTCAGGTCGCCTCTTCCTAAACCCTCAGACATCCACAGGGCCCGCCCCCGCCCCGAAATCACCGAGCCCATCGCCGTACTGTTAGCTGGCCCAAAGTTTTTTGGGTTACTGGGCTTAGGCGGCTAAGCCCCGTTCCGGACATTGGCAATTTGCATTTCCCGATTCGACATCATCGACATTTCCTAGTGGCCAATTATCGCTTAAGCTCTGCTCTGCTCTGCTCTGTTCTGGACTCCAGCCACACGTTTCCAGGGCCTTTAAAGCTTCGGTCCGGGCTGTCACAGGGGTAACGGAATGGACAATCCCTGAGCCTGTTTAAAAATTCGTTTAAATTCCATTGCCGAGAGTACCGGGGATCCCTTGGTTCCGTCCTCGAGTTGCAAAGTCAAAGCAAAGAGGAAAAATACGAGAAAAGGCTGGGAAAATATGCAGCAACCGCGAAATTGAAATTTTGGCTTCGCCTGCCGCGGCGGCTTCTTTGCATTGTTGTTTGCTCCCCGCCGGAGTTCGCGATAGGATGGGAGGGGATGGGATGCGATGGGATGCGATGGCTCACCACCTGATCCTAAGTAAATACGGGGACAGGCCAGGCAGCCAAAGGGACACCCAGATATCCATGCATGTGGGTGTATATGGATATACTTACACTTTGAAAAAATACTACAACAAATTTTTAAAGGGTGATATATTAAGAATGATATAAAACTATTCAATTAAATATTTTGACAGGCTTTTCATAAAATTGCCATAATGTTATACGAATACTTCTTAAGTCTTCTTAGTCTCTTTAAATAATCATCCATTGGAGTATAGTAACATTTTCAATTTTATTTTTCTCAGTGTATGTATTCGTAGGGTTTTTTTATGCCTCGCGAGTTCGCTTTTCTTTTTAATTAAATGAAACCGGAGGAATTGACCCAAAACGCAGAATAAATAAATACTTTAGCGAGAGGATGAGGATGAGGATGTGGTGAAGGTGGAGGTGGAGATGGAGATGGGTTTGTCCTTCTAAGCATCTGTTGTTCCATGTTTGCCTCTTGTTTTTGTTAATAATTATTTCAATTTTTCCCCTCCGTCGAAGTCGAAGGAGGTGGATAGAATTCAAAAGATGCCGCATAGCCTTTGTGTACTGTAGAAACAAAAACCGAAAAATGGCAACAAAAAAATATAGCCAAAAAATTCCGTAAAAAATAACCGAAACAACAATAAATATTTCACCTTCAATAAATCATTTTCCATTCCGCTGTTGGGTATCAAATCCCCCCACACCTGCCCCCCGCTGTCGGAATAAAAAAGGGTTTCGTGTCAACCCCCAAAGTGTTTTTCTTTTTTTGTGTATTTAAAATTCAACAAATTTAAATCGAAAATATGTTTAAATAAAAACTCAGGAGATGCCTAGAAATCGTTGAGGTCTATTTTATGCTAAAGGCCGAAAGTTGGGTAGGGGATAAAGGTCAGTATTAAAATGATAGTGCTCCTCGGAATTTTTTCAAGTGGCATAAACATCAAACTTTTGATTTTTGGACGTACATACATGTATAAGTATACGACATTTCTAGCTTCCTAGGGGTATTATTTAATTACTACGAACTTTTTACCCCACAGAAAAAAGGAACTCCGACCCCGTCCAGTATTACATAATATATGAATGTATGGACATTTTACATATCATCTTGAAAGTCCATAAATTTCTATGCAAACTACGAGTAGTAGCACAGTTTTCAAGAATTCTTAACAAAATGCACGATTATGTGCATTCTTGCCATATTAGAACGATGGGCAAAAAAGAAAAATTGTTACTGTGAGAAAAACTTGTTTTTTATTATGATTACATAGACCGACTGTTTTGTATGGATTGCTGCAGGGTATATTCTATTCGTGTAGATTTACTTATGTTTCCGACCCCATAAATAGGCATTTCCGCGATGCCAAAAAGATTAAAAGTCGATAAAAACATTGAAAATTAACTTATTTATCCAGTTAACCAATTATTTATAATTTCGTTAAATTTGATGTGAAAACCTATTAATATAAGAAAAAGTTGTTCGGTATTTTTATAATCACGTTTTACTATTATGTTCTTTGTCTTTATCGTACTATTATATCCTATAAGAAAGATGAATTTTGATAAAAGTTGGTTTTGTGTTGAAACTTCACTGAAATATGTGCATAAGTGTATTTGAAAAAGTTGCCAATCCCCCCATCTACTTAATGTCAATGCATCAGTACCTTCCTGGCGTAACCGGTTGTGCTATGCCTTTATGGTTTCACAATTCACCGACTCAATGGCCTTCGTAAAATTATGACTATTCAATGACAAGAACAGACAATCAATCTTTTACAATTAGACAAATTTGTAGTTTTGAAACTCGGTTGAGTAGAAATTCATTTATCATCAAAGTGTAGTTTTTTTATTGTGGATATACCGAAATTTGAGCCACAGCATTTGTCATCAGTGGGATCGAGCTGAGAGTGTAATTAATTAAGTTTTTGAGCCACTTAGGATGTGTCACCTTTTCGGTGTTTTAAGGCTCCTGACCATGGGGCGTCGTACGAGTATTCATATGTATATTACGTATGAATGTGCATCTGCATAGGTACTTCTCGTACTTACTTCGTTACACATATAACTTTTGGTTGGACATTGGAGAAGTTTCTGGCTGTTTGTTTCCCGGCTGATAAATTGCCACTCAAGTGGATTAAAAATGTTTGCAGCCGAATAAATCTGTGGCCTCGACCTGTACATTTTTCATGTAGTGGTGCGGTGTAGTGGTGGTGCTGCGGTGGGTAGTGTGGAGTGCGGAGTGTGGAGTGCGGAGTGGTGTGGTGCTTTGCTCTTCCTCTCCCGAGTGACTGTCTGGACGAGTCCTCTTGTCGCATATTAGTTAAACTTGCAAAAAAGTAATCCCAAGTCAAGTTATGACAGAAAAAAACGTTTCCCCACCAGGAGAGGAACACAAATTAAAGGTTCGGGCGTTTCGCTCTATTGGAATTCCCCTTGCTCTGTCTCTCGCGTACTTTCTCCCAGTTTTGGGGACTCATCAGCGACTCGAAGCAACTTCAAAGGGCCTCAGACGTAGCGCTTATTAGCTCGTCGGCATTTTTCGGCATGCAAAGGCATTTTTGAAGAGCGCTCGTCTCATCTCCGGACTCCGTTGGGTTCAGGTCAGTTCGCTTCAGCCTCGTCCGCAGCGCAGGTGGGTTCGGGTGGGTCTTCACTTTCATATGCCCACACAACGTTTTTATTTTGTTTTACAACTTTCAAGTTTTTGTTTTTTGTGTGTTTTTTTTGCGGGGCTGAAAAATATTTTTCATGCATACATAAGTATGCTCGGGCACATTCATAAAATTCAGATTAACATATTACTTAATCGGTGAAGCTCTCGCTCTCGCCCTCCCGCTGCCGCTCTGGCTATCAGCATTACCCACTCCTGCCGTCTCTTTTCATTTAACGAGGCTCACACGAATGCTGTAAAGGCCTTGGCCCAATCGAACCAGTCCGCCATCCTAGGCCTGGCCGCCCGACGCCAAGGCCAATGGCATTTCAGTTCGGCTTGGATCGATTCCATGTCGACATAGTTACCCTCACGCAAGTGGATATCTGTTCAGATATTCTGAGTTATCAGCGTCTGCATCTGTTTATAAATATCTGTTCATAAATTATAGTTGTAGCCACGTTCCGTAGGGGTGCGATGAGCGGTGAGCGGTGTTCGGTGTTCGGCTTAATGTGCCTTGTCATTTACGGGTCCAGCATCGACAAGCACGCCAAATAAAATTATTAAATATCGCACTGTGGGGCCAGAGCTGCCGAACTGGGGTAACCGATTCTGTGCAGAAATAATATGTAATTTAAGGACATCATGAATAAAGAGGTTTGCAAACAAAATGATAATACTAACGTATAGTATTCCTTTAAAAATTATATACGAATTAAATGTATAATTATTGTTTGCCTGATAATAAGTGATAACAATAATTTGTAGATGGTTTGATATAGCTTAGATTCCCATTTACAACTTTCACCGATAGCCCAAAAAGGAGGAAAATATCTCAACATCTCTCGCATGTGACGCTGAAAAGATTAAGAATTATTAAGGATTAAAAATTATTAAAGTCACAGACCTCGATCCACTGTGCCCACGAGTACAGCTTGATTTGGCAAAATTTGCGCAGTGTTCCAAAACGAAACCCAAAGATGTGAAATTGATGTCGATGTTTAATAGTGATGCTGGTGGCGAGCCGGTGCTGAGTGGCAAAAACTGAGACACTGAGACACTAAGACACTAAGACACCGAGACACACACAAAAAAGAATTAATGATGTCGAGAGACAAGGTAAGGTAAGAAAAAATTCGGTAAACAAGTTCGGCGCATGAGTTGGCTAACACTGCGACTGCGGCTCCAAGTCCAATTCGGATGCTGATGATGTTGTAATCTTAAAACTGGCAGCGTCGTGCTTCAGGCAAATCAGTCTGACTTCAAGAGCCAACGCAATGGCAATCGTTGGGACGCGGACCTTGCTGCTGCTCTTGATCCACTGCAGCTGGAGTGGGGCACGTAACTCGCAGAGCCTGCACGTGCGCCTATCGCACGGCGGCTGGCTCATCGGCCGCCACCTGACCACGCACAATGGCCGCCACATGAGAGCCTTCATGGGGGTCCCGTATGCGGTGCCACCGTTGGGCGAACTGCGGTTCAAGGCACCGGTGGCCGAGCTGGGCTGGGAGGGCGAGCGGCTGGCGGTAAAGGATGCGCCCATTTGCATGCAGCGGGATCCCTTCCGGCGCGACATGCAAATCGAAGGATCCGAGGACTGTCTCTATCTGAATGTATACACACCGGAGACGATCAGCTCTAAGAACACGTCGCTGCCCGTGATGGTCTGGTTCCATGGTGGCGGCTGGCAGTGTGGCGCGGGAATTAGCAGCTTCTATGGGCCGGACTTCCTGCTGGACCACGACATCGTCCTGGTGTCCGCCAACTTTCGTCTGGGACCGCTGGGCTTTCTCAGCACGGAGACCCTGGACTGCCCAGGAAACAATGGACTCAAAGATCAGCTGGAAGTGTTGCGCTGGGTGCGCACCAACATCGCCTCTTTTGGCGGCAATCCCCACAGTGTCACCGTCTTTGGAGAGAGCGCCGGAGGGGCAAGCGTCACCTATCACATGCTGTCGGAGAAGTCTCGCGGCCTGCTCCATCGCGGCATTGCCCAGTCAGGTACCTACTTCAATCCCTGGGCACAGCCCGCGCACAAAGGTGTGGCCGCCAGGCGAGCCACTAAGCTGGCCGAGCTGGTGGGCTGCGGATCCTCCGGAGAGTGGCCCCTCAAGCTAGAGTGTTTACGTCAGAAGCCAGCCGAGGATATTGTGGCTTCACTTTACGACATGTTTGTAAGTACATTGAACTGGATCCTTAATGAGTTGAGAGCTAATCTGGCGTTGTTTGGCAGGTCTGGGACTTTGATCCCATGATACCATTTCCCCCGGTGATTGAGCCTGAGCATGATGATGCATTCCTGACAGTGCCGCCGCGTCAGGCGCGCGAACCGCATGGACTGGAGCTGCCGCTGCTGGTGGGCGCCACCGCCGAAGAGGGGCTGCTGAAGACAGCGGCCTTGCTCAATTTGCCGCAGCTGATGGACGACTTCAAGTCCCAGTTCGAACAGGTGCTGCCCGTGGTGCTCAACTACGATCACCACGAGGATTCCGTGCAGCAGCAGATAACGAAGCGCATCGAGGACTTCTATTTCAAGGCAGGCCACGACTACGACAAGTCCAATCACCAGAACCTGACCGATGTGGGTAGCGGATCTGCAAGGGGATTGATTAATATTTGGATAAAAACATATCCGCCTTTCCCTACAGCTTATTTCCGATGGATGGTTTGTAGCTGGCATCGATGAGTATTTGCGTCTTCGCCTGGCCGAACGTGCAGGCCCCACCTATGTGTACCTGTTCGATCACAAGGGCGCCGCCAGCTTCTCGGAGATCTTCAAGGGGGAGCGCAACGAGTTCTACGGAGCCTGCCATGCTGAGGAGTTGCAGTATCTCTTCCCCATTGGCCGGGAGCTGTTCGTGAGTGCGGTGCCCACACGCAAGGATCTGGAGCTGCGGGAGCTCATGCTGAACCTGTGGGTCAGCTTCGCTCGAACGGGGTGAGTCTTAAAGCAGCCATCTAATAAGGTGGGTATTAATGGACACCTGTGAATTTGCGTTTTCTTTGCCCACAGTAATCCAAATCCAGCAAATGCCTCATTAAACCTGCCCGTATGGAAGCCTTCGTCCAGCTATCCGGTGGAGTTTGTTCGTCTGGGCACCAAGGCTGACGAGGCAGCCGCTGCGCCGCTATTCCGAATTGAGGCTGAGTTGATGCAGCAGCGCGTCAATTTCTGGCGCGAACTCCAGCCGCACCTTCCCGCCACCCAGCAGCACAATGAGCTATAATCCAATGATTCCATCTGTATATTCCACCGCAAGTTAAAGAAGACAAGAAATTTATAGTTACAAATATCACCATTGAAAACATACATTTGCCAACATAACGGCACATAGATGCTGCCACATTGGTGAAATTCAAACATGTGCTGATGTGCCAGATGTGAGAAATTTGATCTAGGCCCTGTGCAGTGCTGCCATATCATTGAAAATAGTCTAAACGACCAAATAAACAAATAAAACAACAAGGTATTTGAATATAAATAGAATTCGTAAAAACACACAAAACAGATGTTAAATAAAATAGATTTTTGTTGTTTGTTATTTACAAAATGCTATCGGTATATAATGGTATATTTTGCCAGTTTCATCAATCTATTAAATTTCATTTTTAACGTTATATAAAAATCCAATAAAAGCTATTATTTAAATTAAGTCAATCAAGTAGAAAATTGATTCATCAATGGGATAAAACTATGTAGGCATTGCTGAGAGATTTAGTTAGTCTGCATTATTCAATGGAATATCAAAATGGAGCAATTTCCTTTATCGTTTGTTTTGATTGACCTATTTCGCTACTGGCTTGCAATAAAAGCAAGTATTAAGAATACACCAGTTAAATAGAAAATTGATTCATCAATCGTATAAAAGTATGATGGCATGGCTAAATGTTCTATATAGCTAGTAATCGACGGAATATCAAAAACGAGGAATATGTAAAATAGAACTTGAATTCGTCAGTATATTTACGGTATATTTTGAAAATTAGGAGGAATGTTTCGGTATATTTCACTGATAAGCATTCAGAGAGTGAGGCAAGCCCATAGCATTTGAATTTCATTGGATTACTCATAGCTGACATCGTCCAAAGTTTGCTGCCGCCATCGCAAAGAAGGGGCTGCTATCTCTATCTGATTGCCACAGCGAACGGAACATACTTTCAATTTCCGTCAGATACGCGGGGCAAACGCAATTAGAAATACCACGTGAACTCTCGGACCGACCCCCTAGGTCGTCGTTGCTAATCCAACAATTGAATCGCTGCGCGAAATAAACCAATGCCAGGCACTCACTTGATAACAACTTGGTCAAATAATCAACAGCGTAACCAGCAGCAGAGCGTGATAGTTTCCGACCAGTCACGCAGTAGATGCACGGGTTATGGGATTATCTGTTTAGGATTCTCCACTGAACAGCACAGCGCCACAACACCCTAGCGATAAGGAGCGATTGAATCTCAGCTAAAAGTTTCCCCATTAGACTGTCAACTATGTCTGCGAACGGGGACAGCGCTCCGACGACGGTCCCGGGAGCCACCAAGCCTATCGACATCCAGGTACGGGTGCCAACCCACGAGCGCCTCATGTCCATCGACAAGGGTATGGCGCCGTCCTCGCCGACGCTGCCCAGTCCCACGATCCGGCGGAATAAGAGCGACGGCAAACTAATGGCCCAGGACATCAAGGAGGCACGGGTGCGAGTCATCTACACTGGCGGCACAATTGGCATGATGCGGAACGAACGAAATGGTGAGTGCTGTTCCAATTAGGTCTTCTATTCCATCTGTACATTAGACCCCGGACACGCTCAGCTTCATTTCTCACTTCATTTCAGTGCTGGCGCCCATACCAAATGCCCTAGTGCGCAGCATTCGCAAGTATCCAAACATCCACGATGAGGAGTATGCATTGCGACGCTTTGGGGCCTCGGCATCGATGGCGCCGCTGGTCCTGCCCTTTGTCCAAGGTATGGACAGAAGGGTCCTATACCAGGTCACCGAGTACACGCCGCTGCTGGACAGCAGCAACATGACGATGCACGACTGGGCCCGCATCGCCAATGATATACAGGTATGTGAATATGGTGGGATCAACGCTTTGATGGGAGAATTAATCCAGCAATGCAACTAATGCCTGCAGCAATCGTACGAGTTCTTTGACGGCTTCGTTGTGCTACATGGCACCGACACGCTCTCGTACACGGCCTCGGCCCTGTCGTTTATGCTGGAGAATCTGGGCAAGACGGTGATCATCACAGGATCGCAGATACCGATCTTTGAGACGCGCACCGACGGCAAGGACAACTTCACATCCGCCCTGATCATAGCCGGAAACTACGTCATACCGGAGGTGTGCATCTTCTTCGGCCACAAACTGATGCGCGGAAATCGCACGGTGAAGGTCAGCTCCAATTCGCTGGACGCATTCGATTCGCCGAATGTGCCGCCGCTGGCGAGAATTGGAATCGATGTTAATGTGGACTATCGTTTGATCTTCCGGCCCTGCAGCATCGAACGCTTCTGTGTCCATCTGAATCTCGACGAGAATGTTGGCCTGCTGCGAATCTTTCCGAGCATTTCGCTCTCCACATTCCGCGCCTTCCTGGCGCCCCCGATCAGGGGAGTGGTGCTGCAGTCGTTCGGTTCTGGCAACATACCCTCAAATCGACGGGACCTGATCGAGGAGCTGCAGGCGGCCGCCGATCGTGGCGTAATCATCATAAACTGCACCCAGTGTCCAAACGGCTCAGTGGCGGAAATTTACGACACGGGCAAGGTCCTGTGCGATCTGGGCGTCATTCCCGGCTATGACATGACCCCCGAGGCAGCACTCTCCAAGCTGGCATATGTCATTGGCAAGGAGGAGTGGTCGCTGGACGTCAAAAAACAGGTAAGGCCCAATGTGAATCGCTTTCTGTTAGGACTATTATATAAAGTGTTCAATTTACTCTCCAGATGATGCAGTCGAACCTGCGCGGAGAGCTGACATCGGTGACGGCCCCCAAGATGGAGGACTACGATTTGGTGGATGCTGTGGCGCGCTCTTTGCACTTGTCCTCGCCACAGGAACTGGACCAGCTGGGCGCCACCCTCTTCCCGGCCATGATCAATGGCGCCGTCGCCGAGGGAGATCTGAAGAAGATCAATAACCTGAAGGCGTATGGCGCCGACCTCTCCGGCACCAATCACGACCAACGAACGGCCCTGCATTTGGCCTGCCAGCTGGGCAACGTCGAGATAGTTAAGTATCTGCTGCACAACGGAGTCTCTGTCCACGTACGTGATCGCTACGACCGCACCCCGCTGTTGGAGGCCGTCTCCACGGACAGTCACGAGATCATTCAATTGCTCATCAACTGTGGCGCCCACCTTACCGGCTCCTCACGTGCCGTCGGCGAGCAGCTGTGTGCGGCCGCTGCCCGCGGCTCCCTTACGCGCCTCAAGTCGTATCAGTACGCGGGCGCTGATCTCTCCCAGCCGGATCCGTCGGGACGCACAGTTCTACATGTGGCGGCCCTGCACGGGTTCCCCGAGGTGGTGGAGTACGTGCTGCCCTACTTCGAGAGTGCCAGCGAGAAGGACTTACTCGGTCTAAGCGCCTTGAACTATGCAGAGCGTGGCGGTCATGCAGCCCTTGTAGATTTGCTGAAAGCGGCTGGATGCGAGGCCTAGAATCATCTCTTGGTTCTTTACTCATAAAACTATTTCTTAAGTGTTTGCCTCACGCAAACATCTGTGCAATATCGCGTCTAGTCCGGTCTGGTGGTTCCTTTTAGTGTAATACTTGTAATATGTGTATTGATTTCTTGTTAATAGAAAAGTGTAAGTTATATATTTTAAATGATTGTTACCAGAAAAAAGTGTAGTTAATCCATTTTATTACGAGCTAAGCCGGAAACCATTTCCACAATATTGGGAACTATTTCTGTTGCTTTGGACGACATCATTTAAGAACACGGATTAAATGTGCGATGGACTACAGAAACAGGTTTGAATCAGGGATCCTGCCGTGTTTAGGCATGTTTGAAATTGGGCGCATGACATTGGGGACATTCTTTGTCCACGGCACCAATCAGCACTTTCGGATGAGCAAAATATTCAATTCGTTCTCGAATGCGACACGAATAAACCAAACGGATATAGATGCTCGGTGTACTTGATGGCGTTATCTGTCATTTTCTGCCTGAATGTCAATTACGAGCCCGCACTCTTGTCTCCGTTCTAATGGTCTTTGTTAATTTCGTTCATCTCGTGCCTTGGGATTGTGATTGCGACATGCTCACACGCACGTGTTCGTTATCTTGTTGGGTTCGTTTACCTGATCTTTCTGCTCTCCTATTTCGCATGTTAGTTGCTATATTCGTTCGACGATGCAACTGGGTTCCCTTGCGTCCTCACTCTAACACACACGAGATATGAGATATATATATATATATGTACATATATTTTCATATAGAAAAATTAGTATGTACGAATGATATTTAGATATATATATTGCCTTGCAACATTTCAAGTAAAAACAAATTCAGAAATTGGGAGTTTCTCGGATTTTTCTAGCATTATTTATAGTCTCTTGGAACTCGGTGTTAAACAAGACGGAAAGACGGACATGGCTAAATTGAATCGGAAATTGAGGCTGATCAAGAATACATATATGGGGTCGAAAACACTTTCTTCTGGCCATTACGTTTCTACATATCTACCTGAAAGGTAGAAACAGGTATGGCATTTCATAGCATAGTGTTGGGCGTAGAATTCATGTTAAATGCATGTGCCTCCGTGACAACTTCATCTCTATGTAGTTGCTTTTTTAGCTCTTTTTTTTATATATAATTTTATAAGAGGAATGCAATAAAATAGGCTTATAAAACACAATCTAACGATAAATTGATTAATCTATCGGATAAAATTAATTTTTCTTGAAAACTCGCGATAATTGCGATGTTCTTAAAACATCGGATGTGCAGGCCTCGATCTTTACTGTTCCGTTCATAATTTTCTACGTCGCGGACAACGCAAAGACAGATCTTTAATTGTTATAAACTACGGTGGCGTTTGATAGTTGGGTTGGGGCTTTTAGCCAAAAACTGGTCTTATATGGGCTTATATTTATAGGGAGGAGTGTACTTTGAAAATAGTGTTATAAGCACTATATAAACACACTATAAGTGTTCGGACTGATAGCAGTGTGCACTTTTTGTTATTTGTAATTTATAATTTAGTCCAGATTTTCAACGAAATCCAATAAAAGACGCATCTTTTATCCGAATAAATATTTGTTATTTGTGTGACACACCCTCCTATCTTTTTCTCATGCTTCGCTACTTCTATCTCGCTCCATTTCGAATCGTTGACTAAGAGTGAGCGTGAGAGAGGGATAAAAGTAGAGATAGAGTGATAGAGAGAGAGGAAAGACCATCGGAGGGAGAAAGTTATTTTTTGATGTATTTGTTTTATTTAAATTTATTTCAAATGATATTTGATGTTTAATTAACAATGTTTCATTTTTTTTTTCCTTTGAGAAAAAAACACTTAGGTTCTTAAGATTCATGTTTTAAATATTATAATAATTTGTTTGTTTATCCCCCCGTTCGTGTCGTTCTGCTTGGAACTTCTTGTCTCTTCTTTTGCCATTATCTTTCTGTCGAGCTTGTGTGTGTGTTTCGGGTTAAGATCCATTAAATAATGCAATTGAAAGTTCGACGACGAGTGGAGGCGGAGAGGGGGCGGTAGGGGTGAGGGGTGGGGGGGGGGGGTTGGTACAACAACTGTTGAATGCTGAATGCTCTCAAAATCCATTTCCACAATTTATTATGATTTTCATATATATAATTTTATATATGTGTGTGTGTGGGTGTGTGTGTGTGTGTGTATATATATGTTGTATTTTTCTTTTGCTACAGCTGACATCAAGTACATTTTGCTTATGATTTGCTTATTTTTGTTTCTTCTTTTTTGTGTGTGTTTTCTCCTCGTTTGTTATTTTCTCATTTCATTTTCATTTTTGTTTCGTTTATCATTATATTTATTTATAGGTTTTCTTTTTTGTTCTGTATTTCTAGTTTAAACATTTAAATACGATTTCCACATGTCTATGAAAATACAGCGCTCATGCACGCATGTGTATATACTCGTATGTATGTATTTATATATAAATCTATATACCCTTTCAATGCTTTGCAAAATGTTAAACAAAAATTAAAAAAAAAAAACAGCCAAAAAACAATCGCAATGAAGAATAAGGAAATATATGTTCTAAAACAAATCAAAGAGAGCTTGCTCTTCTCTCTCTTTAGCTTTTGTTTTTCCCATTTTGTTTTTACATGCCTAAGGGGTTGTGGCGAAAGAAGGGGTGCTTGTGAGGGGGTTGCCGGGAGTGGCGCAATCAAAAATAATACAAAATATTCCAAATTTCTTTTTTGTTGCCTCTGTCAAATGTTTTATAAAATGTTGATTGATTTTGCTGTGACCTCTCCCATCATCTTCAGATTTGGATACATAAATATATCCATATCAGACATAGGGCGCATCATCTGCAGATCTTTTGTTTAGGCAGATTTCATCTCAGACACATGTACGTATTCTAACAACGTTGTAGATCGTACGAGACCCATATAGACCTTACAATTATCCATACGCCTGGTACATACAAATCATGTATGCAGTTTCTGGAATTGCTTTAATTAATCTTCAGACATATTTCATATAATATGTGATACATGTAGATCGTAAGTGTATGCTCATATATTTTTTCTAGATTTTCTCGCAAATCTTCTGAATTGTGTTGTTTTATAAAATGTGGGGGGTTGGTTTCTTCCAATTTAGCTACTCAGTTGAGTTGATTTTTTGCTTACATAAACTCTTCTCATCAATCTATATATTTAAGTATCCAAACATTTTTAGATTTAAATTTGGATGTATGGGATTGCAGGTTGAATCATTGAAATGACTAAAAACAAACTACTTAAATGCAAAATGCCAGCCGAAAAATATAACTTATGGTCCTTATATATCTTCTTTTTATATAATTCCCTTTTTATGGGTGTTAGTGGGTGGATGGGGATGGGGATGCAGATGGGGATGGATGGTGATAGGGGGAGAGACAGTGTTGGATAGGGGGTGAAGCAAACTGTCCTTTATAGAGAGCGGCGGTGGCCTGGCAGAGCAGTTTTCTTTTTTTTTTCGTGACATTCTTTTATTATTTATATGATTTTTCAAAGCGTTTTTCTGACTTTTTGTAATGCATTTTGCTCGTGGTTTCCTTAGTTAAGCTTCTTCCTAGTGTTTGCTTTAACAATTAAATTTATCCAAGTTTTGTCAAAGCAAATAACAAACTCAATTAAACATACAACTGAAATTGTTTACTTCATTAACAATGATTGGTTTGTCTTTGCTTTTTGTCGAAAGTTTTTTTTTGCTTAATAAGATTTAGATTTTAAACTAAATGTCTGATTGATTACATAATTGAAAAAATATAAAAGATGCGGCTTTTCACTTTAGACGTAAGATAAACGTTATCATAAAGAATATAGTAAAATTAGTTTAAAAAAAAAAAATGAAAAAAATGCAATGGAAAATCTGAGCAATGCACTTTTTGGATTAAACTGGTTGTTGTAGTGTTTTGTTTTTTGAATCACTTTAAGACTTAATAGCTTCATTAGCAAAGCTTTTACTTTCTGTTCGAGCGCAGCTCTTTTATCTCATTCAGCCTCGAGGGCTAGTTTCCCCTTCTGCTGCATATCTGATGGTTTTTGTATCTTTTTGTGTCGCCTCTCCCGTTTGCTTTTGCTTATGCTTCTGGGTTTGTTCGTTGTTATTGCTGCTATTGCGTCTTGTTGCGGTTTGATGGTGCTACTGCTTCTGCTGCTGTTCTCTTTGTTGTTTTTTGTTTTTTGTTTTCTGTAGTTCTGTAGTAGTTGTTAGTGATTCTGCTGCATTTTGGATACTTTATGGCATTCAGAGCAAGAATTTACCCAGTAAGAGGCCCAGTATGGCCGCAGCAATGGCAATTGCAATATAAAAGACCGGAATCTGTTTCTCAGCTAGCACTGGGGCATAGGGCTCGTTCGGCTGCTTGAGAGCCGCTGAGCTGCGGTAGCGTGCGATTTGATCCTGCAACAGGAAGATTATAACCATTAAGGCCACAAAGGATAACGGAGGTGAACCAGGGACCCACCTTCAAGTGTAGATTCTCTTTTCGTAGGTCAGTGTTGGACTCCATCAGCGCCTTCATCTCACCGGACAAGTCATACTCAGTGGCATCGGTCGAATTTGCGGTCTTTAAAACAAAGATTGGATTAAATATATTCTTTGAGAGCGGCACGAAACACACCTTCTCATCGCTAGACAGCTTCGTCTCTGACTTAGCGCCCTCGGTGATGGCGGGTACATTGGTACCCGCACTGCCTCCGCCGGCGCTGCCGGATCCAACACCCACGGAAATGCCGCTAGTATTCTCTGCATTTGCCTCGGCACTGGGCATCTCGAAAACGCATTTCAGCTTGGCATCCATTAGCTGCTGCGGCTCCAGCTCCTTCCACTGCAGAGGATGATATGAAGATGAAGATGGAATGTTAATATTGATGTTAATGGGGGATTTGGTATCGGATGCTCATCAACACGCCACTTACCAATTTATTCAAATCGGTCAGATCAGCATCCACCGGTGCGAGGACGCTTTGCACCATGAACTTGTGCTTGTTCTTCTCCTGCTGATCGTACATGAAGGGCTGCAGGCAGACTGTGGGATATACATCGAATGGGAATGGTATTGGGGATTAGATTGCATTCCAGCCAGTCCATATGGATATTAAAGAGTACTTACTTTCCACCTGGGTCGACCGAAAAGGCAGGATCTTGCCAATGTTTGGACGTACACAGTAGCGCTTTGGTGCGGTTGTCTTGATCTTAAAAACCAGTGGCGCAGACGAGTTATTGCGTAGGGTCATGATTGTGACGACAGACCGATTAAAGGGACCTGAAAGGAAAGCGAATGCATTCGATTAGCAATCAATCGAATTAACAGGCCCACCCCCCCCGCCGTTCCAAGCAAATCAACTGATTTGTGTCACGTCACGCCCATTGCGTCATTAGGCAGCACCAAAAACGAAAGCAAGTTCAAATTAATTGAATTAAAAGCAGAAGCAAACAACAAAAAGAACCAATAGCTAGAAGCAGGGCAAAAGAGAGCAACCAAAAGGAGCCGAAACTTGAATACCCTCCCTAAAACAAAAAAAATTCTAGTGGCAGTGGAAACTGAAAAAGTACTGGCAGGCCAGACATGGATGTCCTCCGAAGAGATTAGGCAGAGGCGAATTCGATTATATGCGCGATCTACGCCTGGGATGCAAGTCTTCTGTAAGTGGGAAGAGTGCAACAGTAACAGCAGAAGCAGTGTAACGGATTCCCTTTAGTGCGTGCGTGTTCTTCCTATACGCGTATATATGTATGTGTATTTATTGTGTGTGTATGAAGGAAATTTCATTAGACAAAGTCGCGTCATGCATGGGCCTCGGCCCCTCTCCCCACCCAAACCTCTCACTCTACACTTCGCGCTAGTCAACGATCAAAGGGGGAGGTAGGTCGGAGGACAAGAATGGGGCTAAGGCAGGGCTGACATAGCCAAACACACACACACAGAAATATGAAAATATTTGTGCACAGTGGAACGAAACAAAAGTAATGGGTGTTGCACGAGGAAAATAAATAATTCTAATTCTCAATCTCTATTTCTCTCTCTCTCTTCCTAACACATACACACCACATATTAGTTATTTACACACATGTGTTTTGTGTTTTTCCAATTAGTAGCAATCGGGTAAATGCATTGCCACCGCCCACTGTGCGGGCTCTCTGGTGTCATATGGGATTATTGTAGTTGTTGCTGCAACTGCTGCTGCTGTTGCTTTTCGGCCAAAACTCAAGAAGTAAGACAAAAAAAAAATTAAAATAAAAACGGCCCATGACAAGTTTTTGCGTATAAAAATAAAATTGTAGCCAAAAACGCAAGGAGAGAGAGGCAGACGACGGTCGGAGAGCGCGAAAGAATAGCGAGAGTAAGAAAACAACGCCAGCTGCCGGCAACAAGAGCATCAGCAGAAGAAAGAAAGAGGGACGGCAGCAGTGACAGCGGCGGACGGGCCAGGACAGGACAGAAGGAGATGGATGAAAACATGGTGAAACAGCCGCACACCACACGTAGACCTAAAACAATGTCAAAAATGTCCAACAAAAACAACGGAAATTATTGATAAGCTGCAAAGAAAGCAGCGCCAAGTGACAAGGAAAGTGAGACAAAGACAGAGACAGAGGTAAAGAGCACCAAAGCGAGACGCAATCACACATAAGCGGCGTGTGTGTGTTGGTGTGCGTGCAAACTTTGCAGTTTGCTCCAAGCCCTTTTGACCTAACAAAATGAACGAATTTTGCAATAAATTGGAATTCGAAAATGAAATTGCAATGGTTAAATGTTTCAATGGTTCGTACTGCCACCGATGCGTCGTCGCCTACATTGGTCGATACATGAACAACATATGCATGTATGTAGCAATGGGTGTGCGCGAGTGTGGTTGAGCCAACATGCAAAATGGCCTTACCCGTCTCACACGCTCACGCGATGAATGGATGGGGAGAGAGACAAACAATAACAAATTGCTAAAGAATCAAGAGTTTCACTTTTTAGTTTTTGGCAATCCCTACAAAAAGAATCATGAAAAAAACTCACCCACAAAACGCAACTCATGCTCCGGATCAATGGTCAGCGGAAGCTCGTAGTTTGGTTTGCTCATGGCTGCTGTTTGTATGGACTCCACTGTAGAAAATTGCAACTTCGTGTCTGTTTTTCGGTATTTCTCCTTAATTCTTTTGTGCGTTTTTGCGCGCTGCTTGTCCTGGTTTTGCCTTCACCTTGTTGTCGTTGTAGTTGTAGTGGTGGCTGTTAAGGAAATGCACACGGAATTGTATTACACATTCACTCAAACACACATACACTCAGCAGAGACACGCAGCACGTAAAATTTGCTGATTTTCGCTTACGGTTTTCGTTCTTCTTGCGTTTCTTTCCGGTCTGCAAATATCTTCCGAGCTAAACCTTTTTAAGATACCTTTTTAACCAAATTTTCCCTATTGTTTTATTTTTTCTCTTGACTTTTCACAAGCTGCGCGTCGCTCGTTTGTCGCTGCTGGCTTCGTCCGATTTATCAGAGAGCGAGGACAGGCGAAATATCGGCAAATTTATGCGACCACACACACACTCTCGCACACGGTTAGAATATAAAGAAAATACCAAACATAAATTCCGTTTTTGCGTACAAAAAAAACGACGATCAACGTGGATTTCCTGCCTAGAACAATGCAATTTTCTCTGCAATAAGATGGCCCACTCTGATTCTAGCTCGGGTACTTCACGCACTTCGCTAGTTTAATTTTTCTACGAATCTAGTACAATTTTCATATGCAAATGCAGGGAAAAAAAATCCAAAGCGCGCACACACGTTCGGATGCAGTGTGACCGCGAGTTTATTGATCAAATATACCGTCTGACCATCAGAAACATACCGTCTAATCTTCAAAATATACCATAAATATACTGACGAACTATTGAAGTTCCATCATACATATTCCTGCGTCACCTTGGAGTTCTAATCCGACCGGCGGAATTGTTAGGCAACGCCGTTGACCGGCAAAATCCAGAAGCAACGCCGTTCATTCAGCGTTGCCATACCGTTCCGTTCCACGCCGCTTGTCTTGCACTAACTTTATTTGTCATTCAAAAATACCGTTTTCTGGTATAATTTTTACCCACATTTATATTTTTAAATATATTAATTTTGTTCGACCTAGCTGTTTTTGAAATTATGGTAGCTCAGAGGTCCCGCGTGGTCATAGCAGAAAAGTCAGCGCGCTTTGATCATTTGATATAAAGATTTGTGAAAATGGGTTTAATTAAGCGAATTAGTTTCGAAATAAAGAAATAGATAGCTTTTAGTTTTGGAAATTATTTGATAATTTGTTTAATACTTAGCATTTCCTTTGCCAAATCCAGTTTATCTTGAGTATATGAGAATATTGTTGGAACAAACAAAAATTAAAGTGTGTATGTCGAATGCATTAAAGATTAGTGAAAAAATAATAATAATTAACTTAACTTTGGCGATTTCAAATCGTAACTTAAAGCTTAATCAAAATAGCAGCCCTGTACTTTCTTTCTCTCCCCAATACTCCACTACAAAATGGGTTAAACACATTATATACGATCCAACCCCTGTAAGTTTTTAGCTACAAGCATGTTTAGGATCATCCGTGCGGTTATCGCCTCATGATCAAAGCGGCATTTTTTCGGGGCCAGGGCAACAATACCCCGTACATGGTCGGCAAGGCGATCACACTTCGGGAGCGTCGCCTTTTCCATGTATCTCATGAAACCATACATGTAGTTGCGGAAGAAGAATCTATAGGCAGCTTTAGCCTGCGGAGCATCACACAAGTCGATTTGCCTCGAGATCTCCGCCATGAGGGTGACATCGGTTTTGTTTTCAATGGACTTGAAAAAGAGGTTAGTCGCCTCTATGGCGCTCGACTGCATTATGAGCCCCATGCATTTATCTGCGAAATCGCGATCTGTCGACAAGATATTTGTCATCTTCCAGCGTTCGCTCTGCGCTGAAGTGTCTACCAAGGCCTGCATTTTCTGGATGAGTTCTGAAAGGGGATAAATAAATTTAAAATGGCATTGTTGGCCAGTGCGTTGAAGTTCGGCACTCACCAGAGTCTCCGCTCAGGATGGTCGGCGAATTATTTGTATAGTATTTTACAGCCAGGTTGAGGACATCGACGCGGATTTGGTCGAAGGTCGGTATAGTCCAGCGCAGAGCATCTATGGTCTTCATTAGCTGGGACAGCACTGGCCAACTGTTCTTGCGCCATTGGATAAGATGGACATGCATTTCGACATAGGTTTTGGCCTCTTTCAAGCAGTCTGCCGATGCGTTGTCCTCTATCATTTGATCAATTTGCTCCTTGCCGTTCGTTTGAATGTATTTATCTGCCGATTCGACATTTAGAAGGGTATGTAGGATGCGCTCGATGAGATGAGTGTGGTTCAATTCGGTGAACTTGGCCAGTCCAGTGGCAAGGGCCTCCAGGTATGCGGACTGGGCTGCCTTCAGCTGCTCGACACTGTAGGGCCTGGCGCCCGGCTGAAGGTTCAGGTTGTAGTTGCACAAATTATTGTTGACCCGTTCACGGAAACTACGACTGGAAGGGGTGTGCAAGCCAGTCTTCATGCCGTTGAGTATCAAGGGATATGCGTACAGGGATAGCAGGAAGTCAAACGAATTCGGGCGCGTTAGCACGTATTCGTCTTTGAACAGGCTGTCGGCGGTGCTCTTCATGTAGTGAATGGCGTGGGGGGTGAGCTGGCAGGCGAGGTTCCAGAATATGTCCATGAAACGTGAGTGCGTCATACCCAGGTCAGCCAGTGTCTGCCAGGACATCTGCGCGTCCTCGTAGCATATATACAAAAACTCTAAAAGGTGCGCACGCTCAGGCTGGCCATCGAGCCGATTAAAGAATAGAACACGGCGTGAGTTAGAGGCCCGATTGGAAAAAGTGAATGCAGTCGTGAGCCCAAGCTCATCGCGTAGCTCCAGTATCTTTTGCTTAACATCCACGTCGGATCGGATAAAGATCAGCTGCACAACCTGACGCAACACGGGATTGTATTGGCTTCTCTGTTGTTTTTTCTCTTCAAGACTCAGGCTGGTATCCTCAGCCTCCTCGGCCAGATATTCGGCCATATGGTTGAAGATCAGGGTGATGTGTTCGAATCCCAGGAATTGCACATGCTTGGACATGGTGTCCACGCACTCGTCGCTAACAAAGCAAATGGGACGTTGAAAGAGTTCTTCAAGTCCAGCCAGTGTCTGCGCCTCGGTTATTTCGCCATTATCGCCGTCAAGGAAGCGTAATAGTTCGCGCAAACTTAGTTCTGTCAGGCGCTCCTTAAACGACTTGGCCGCTCCGGCGAAGGTTTTCAGTTGTCCGCAAATCAAGTGCTGGGCAAGTTCTGGCTTGTTCCTAATAAGGTTCAACACTGCTGCTGACTGGCAGCATATGACCTCTTGGTAGCTGTAGAGCAACTGGCTAGAGGGAAGCTCTAGCCAGGTCATGAATGTGTCCACGGTCACCAGCTGCAGGACACGCTGCAAGGCGTCCATCAGAATCGAGGAATACCGGTCCATCAAAGACTCTGTGTTCTCCTGCTTTATGGAGTCTGTTTCATCGCAAATCATGAAATTGTAGATAGTCCAATATTGTGGCTTTTCAGCGGGCTGCTGGAGGGCCGCGAGCAGCACATCGAGTAGCTGATTCATTGCCAGGGCCAGGTAGCGCTTGCGAGGAGATGGAGACAGCACGCGCAATCGATCGGAACTGTCTAGCAGTTGGCGTTGAAGGAGACGAGCCGTCTGGTCCACGAGTTCGTTGGCACTTGTTTGGTTATAGTGGGCAATGGCCTGCCGAGCGGATGTGAGGAATCCCGTGAGCAACGACAGGGCATCAAATTGGTTGGAGACCAACTTGGACACGTTTTCATTTAGATAATCGTAGTACTGGCGGGCAACACAGCTCTGTCCGTACGCCAGAAACTCTTTCAGCGGCTGTTGCAGACCACATTTCAGGGCAATGGAAATGGCCACGACTGTCGACATGGGAGGTACCTGGCCAACCAAATGGACGCAATCCGGATTATAACTCTTCTGTTTCAAACAGTCAGTGGTGTTTATTATTAGCACGGCTAGGACCCCGCGCAAATAGTTCATGGCGTCAGCTCCAGTCGGCTCGGTGACCACCTCGTTTTTCATTTTGTCATGTGGCCGTTGCACCACGAGATCATGCTCCATTAGCACTTTGCACACCAGATTGCAGATCTTTGCAATGTGCTCGTCATCGCCTGCCAATGAAACGAACCATTTTGCACTTTGTAGTTTTTTCCTTTTACCGCTATGTTTTTTATTTCTACATGCGTACTTACCGCTTAAATATAAGAAGGTGTTAAGCTTCTTAGACTCGCTGTCAAAACGCTTAAGAGTATCGCCCATCTGGGCAAAGACCTCGCAATTGTCCAGCGAATGCATTTTCACTTGTTTGATCACTGTTTCTAACTTAATTTTAATATTTTTGACGCCAAACGACAAAACGTTGTGATGCCGCCTTCCGATTTATGCGATGGCTGGCGCCGATATCTCTAACATCGATATTCCGTCTGCAAATAATTGATGCTACCACTAACCATACAGTATATACTGATCCGCCTGTTTGCCACCCTGGCCTATCGTTCCCATCGACGTCCCCGTGAGCTAGTTGGGAACGATAGTCCAGGGTGGCAAAGAGGCGGATCATAGCATGTTTAATTTTATTCTGAGACTTTTCCAAGATGGCTGGCCTCGGTAGCTCGATATCGGTATCTTAAAAGTTGATAGCTGAACGTACAACTTTCTTTCATTTGGCTGAAACAAATATATTCAACAAATACTGTTGATGCCCCCATATCGATAGTCGAATCCCAGCGGCGATGCTACAAGAGTTGGTGTGGGCGGGCGAAGCCGATAAACATAATGTGCAATGTTTTCAGAAAAAATGTAAGCAGGTGGAACAAAAGCTGACTTAGTCTATGTCTAGGTCTCGGTCGAGACCTAGCTAACTCCAAAGAAAACATCTGCGAAATGTCGTGCTGAAACTTTAAATGTCGGACGTAGTTTGGCGGGCCACAGCGATCAGCTGTCCGCCGCATCGATTTGTGGGCGCCTATCGGCCGGCTGCAGCAAGAAGCAAACGCAAATTTGGTCTTGTAAGGAGAGGCGGACGTGTGAATCGGGTCAAGCAAAAGTGGGCCAAGACCATGCAATAGAATAGGCAAACTAGTGAGAAGACGCACACTGCCAAGACTACAGCAAGGAGACAGTGGACGAGTGTCATCATGGAGCTGCGTGAGCTGCGCGGCAGCGCCACGGCCGGCAACACAAGCAGCAGCACTAGCAACAGTAACAGTGGCATCAGTGGCGGCGGAGGCGTCGAATTGGGGGGAATCTGCATTGGGAGCGCCGGCGGTGATGGCGTCCAGCGTGTGCCCACCAAGGCGGACCTATTCATGGAGCAGCTGAATGCCACAAATGCCAAAAAGGTGGCCCTACTCCTAGTCCTGGGCTTCATCCTCTACCATGGCCTGCTCAATTGGAACTACGGTAGGTGTTCGTCTCTCTGTGTGTGCGTGTGTGTGTTTGTTCGTATCGATTTGTCCTGTGTAAACATGTAATCGAATTTGCATTGTGGCGTTCCATTAACAGGCAGCGACTCCTGCCAGTGGCTGCTGTCGAAGGGCCGCTTCAAGGGCGATAACGAGTGGCAGCCGTATGGGTGCATGGTCCACAAATACTCCCTCACGTGAGTGGCAATTCCAAATTCCGAATTCAATTAACATTTTCCCACATTCCCACAATTATCATATCTAACTCTTTCTATCTCTATCTCTCTTCCCATGCAAATGACTCACCCACTGACCCACCCACCAATATGACTATGCCATGCCATGCCATGCCACTATCTACCATAATGACAGCGACACGCGGCGATGCCTGCGATACCTGGCCTTCTTCGACAACAAGAACAACTTTGTGTTCATTGGAGACGAGAGCGTCCGCCTGCTCTACGAGCGGTTCATCGAGCAGCTGCGCCAGCTGCCACTGTCCTCCGACGAGGACAACAACGGGTCATCACGGGCCCACGACGACAGTGCAGCGGTTCGATTCGAGGACAACAAGCTGCACATGCTGGCCCAGTACATCAGAGCCGAAGATGTCAGTCCTTCGCTCATCGATCGACTGTACAGGTTGGAGGCCGAGAAGCAGCTGTCCTCCGTGTACGTGGTGGGGCTGACCTATTCGGGCCTGCTTGGCGGGAATATAACTGAGGAAGTGCTGCGACAGTACGGTGCAAATCTCACCCTGCTGGTAGCCCCCTTTCATCGTCTGGTGGCGCAGACATCGCGTGTACTCTGGAAATTGGCCGATCGCGTAGACGAAGAAAAGCTACCGACCGCCTGGAAGTTACTGCTCAATGAGGACATCGATCGGCTTAATCATGTGGCCCGCAACGTCTTTCGCTACACGGAGGCCACCGTCTGGGAGTCAGCCTGGCACATTGCCAACGGTCTTCTGGACACCGCCATCGACGGACATCAGCTGTGTGCTCACGGCCAGCGGCTGGAGGTGCAGCTCCTGTGGAACATGTACTGCAACGACTACATGAATTACAACGACGGCACCTGCTGCAGCAGCTCGGAGCCCCATACAACGCTCCAGATTGTGGCGTACGCCCTGTTCGGCGTCTGCATGACGCTCGTCTGCGGCATGTGCCTGCGTCGCTGGCTTCTCCATCTGCGTGGCTACACGCTCTACGTGCCTCTCCAGCAGCATCAGCAGGATCCGCATCAGCATCAGCCAAACAGCGGAGGAAGAGGCGGTGGTCCCACCCATGCCCTGTCCGCACTGATCACGGACTATGGGACCCCGATGGTGGCGCTGTCTCTGCTCGGCCTGATCATGGTCTACTTCTATCTATGCGACCGCACAAACTTCTTTATGAAGGAGAACAAGTACTACTCGGAGTTCAGCTTCTGGATACCCGTGGGCTATGTGTTCGCCCTGGGTCTGTTCTTTACGGAGGACTCGCGCTTCACCAAGGTCCTGAACAGAGACCAGACAGACGAGCTCCGCGGCTGGATATTGCTGGTGGTGTTGATATATTACATGACGGGGGCACAACGCGTGCTGCCCATTCATATGCACATCAAGCTGCTCATCTCGGGCTACTTCTTCCTCACCGGATACACACACTTCACTCACCTCTGGCAGACGGGGGGCAGCGGGTCATTGTTTGTCCGCTTCTTCCAGGCCATGTTCCGGGTAAACTTCCTCAGTGTGCTGCTCTGCTTCTGCATGAACCGTCCATACCAGTTTTACTACTTTGTGCCGCTTCTCTCCTTCTGGCTGTGCATCATCTACTTTGTGCTGTCGCTGCCGCCGAGGATTTCGTCCGCATCGGTGGACTCAAATCCGCTGCACTACCTCTACTTGGTGTGCAAATGCATCGGCTGCCTGGGCGTGATCACGGTACTGTTCATGTCCGAGGTCTTCTTCGAGCGCATCTTTGTGACGCGACCATGGAAGGCACTATTTGTCACCACTGACGACGACCTGCACGAGTGGTGGCACCAGTGGAAGCTGGACCGGTACACAGTCACCTTTGGAATGATGTACGCCGCCTGTTTCCACATTGCCCAGAAGTACAATGTCTTTGATGACAACAACCATGGCAATTTGTTCGCGCGTCGCACCTCCATCTCAGTGACGCTACTGGCCCTCCTGGGCGTGGGAATCTACACGTCCTTCTCGTTCCTGTGCCGAAACGTACAGAACTGCGAGGAGATCCACTCGTACATTCTCTTTATACCCATTGTCGGGTATGTGGTACTGCGCAACATCTCAGGGATACTGCGCACCAGGTACTCCAGCTTCTTCGCCTGGTTTGGGCGAATCTCGCTGGAGTTGTTTGTCTGCCAATACCACATCTGGCTTGCTGCCGACCGCCACGGGGTGCTCGTCCTGCTGCCCGGCTTCCCCACGCTCAACATGATCATCACTTCGTTCATCTTTGTCTGCGTCTCGCATGAGGTACACCGCCTGACCCATATCCTGCTGCCCTACGCCGTGCCCAATGACTGGCGTCTCGTCATGCGCAACTTTGTCATCTTTCTCATTGTGCTCATCCCTGTGGCCCGGTCCGATGGCATGTTCTGAGCACAATTCAATTGTCGCCGGCTCATGTCCAACGTGTACCCGCCCGCCACGCAATCACATGGATATGTTTATATAGCGTGCCATTGCTGTAAGCCAATTGTAGTTAAGCCTTCTCGCCAATTCTCTCGATGGCATGTAATATTTATGCATTCATTCGATGAAGATCTTTAAAAGATAGGAGCCCCCCTTTGAAAACTTACTTGATTTGTTATCTAACTCGATTACCATTCGATTACTACCGTGCAATACCCTTTACTTGCAATTGATTATTTACTTTGTTATTTTTGGAATACTCTATTCTCTTTATATTGATTTGTTTATTGTCCAAAGACTGACCTAATTCCATTTAAAAGTGAAAACTATTTTCTAGCCAAATTTATGTAAACCGATCGGATAGCTTGAAACTGAACGTGCAATTGTCTTATAGTTTTGAAACGCAATATATACACCCTTATTTACATATTTAGATATCTCTTACGGCCGCGCAAATAAGTATACAAACATTTACGTATAACAATATATTTTACGCATATGTATACCATCTAGAATTAACTTAGCCTTACGAGAAATTTGCACAAATTACTTAAAATTTCACTGATACAAACACACCCACACTCACACGAAGCGGCAACCAAATGTATGTATAGCGCAAGAAAATAAAGCATTGAAAATACTTACAAAATTTGTATTTGACTTTAGCTTCTGCAACGAAAAATGTATTTAAACCTACACCTGTGCTGCATATGATGCACTATGTATGATGAAAATTGATATGTGTACATACATACATATGTATGTATAATGTCCCCTTTGATTGACCAAGCACCAGAAATCACGATCGGATAAGTTTTGATAGTTTTGCGTGAAAAGTTCGCTACTCTTGCGTTTCTACTTGTTGCACAAGCAATAATCTTATTAGTGGTTATTCTATAGGTACATTGGTATAGGTATGCACCTGTCAGAGCATAGGGAAACAGACCTTCACAGCGCTAATTGACAGCCCCAGTAAAAAAACAAAGTGCAGCCAAAGTTGAGACTGGGGGAAAAGCGGGAGCTCATTCATAAAAAACATCCACATCCTTAGTCTCAGTTCGGGGCGACACAGAAGCAGACTCGTTGCTGAGGCACCGCCACTTCCGGCTGCATCAACAAGAGTTCATAACAAACAAAATGTAACATACTCGTATACCTGGATGTACATATGTAGTACAATGTACGCACATATGTACATATATGTCAGAAGACAAAAAGAGACGTCGACTGGGTGCGGAAAAGGATAAGGAAGGAAAAAACGGATAGGAATGGGTATAACTGGGACTAAGACTAACCAAGATAGCCGAGATAGCCATTCATGTAAAGCTCTGTAAGGCTGGATATGGAGGAGAGGAATGAGTTATTGGTAAGATGAAAACCATTTATCGTACATTTTTTGTTGGGATATTTATTCGACATAAAAAACCCAACTGTTGTAAATAGGAGATGATTCTATGAGGCTTTCCATCTGAATTTGGAGATATTGATAGATGATAGATCTAACCTTACAGAACTGCCAACCCAAGACCAATAAACAAATGTACGTGAACTCCTGAGCCCCGACGTTTTGATACCCTTTATGTGCGAAACGCTGTTTCCGATCCACCAATACTTCTATCTCCTGCAAGCAGGCTTTTTATTAGGGTACGAGAATCCCACTTTTGTTTCTATAATAGCCTTGTCTTAGCAGTATATTTATATAGTATATATAGTAGTGATAGTATTCTGATTTCAATCTGATTTGATTGGAATTGTTCTTTTTATGGTTGGGGGGGTATTATTAAAATTATATTTTAATGTTGCATTTTTTGTTTCATTTAACTCGAGTTACACCTACACCTATTCTGGAGAGCTTTGCAATTTTAGGAGGCTAATGAATTGAAAAATTGATAGCTGAATTTTTCTTGTTGCGTCGGTTTAAGGAATCGTTTATAAAATTCAATTTATTTATAAAGATAAACAAATGCCATGAACACTATTTAAGAAATCGGAAATTCTTTCTTCTCTGTGCCGATCACTGCAGCTATGTTTACTTGCAAGTAAACATAAAAAACTATCAACTCTAAAACTGTTAATCAACAAGTGGTGGCCTGGGTGCCAAATGCACCCACACACACCCCCAATAAAAGTAGGCGAAACGGCGGGTGCATGCTCGTCCAAAATCCGAGCACACGAAAGCTTCCGCCTCGAAAGCTTGCGACTTCGGTGGCGCTTCGGCACCTAGACTCGGTCACGGCTTCGGGTCATATAAGTATCGGTTCCCAAGGCTCACTGGTTCCAGTTAGCGCCTGAACGTACGTCGAAACGGTTAGTTGGCATCGCACAATCCTCTGAAACCCAAGACCCCAAAGTGGCAGCAACAGGAACAGCAGGCTCCAGCGCCTAAGCCTAAGTTTGACTGAACGCTAAGAACTGCTGAGGCGAAAGAATCCCGCGCTTATTTGCTGCCACTCTGGGGTCAAGGCTTAAATCTTGGCACTGGAACTGTCATTCTTAAGAATTAGTTTTCTTTGTTTTTTCTGTGGTAGAATTTGCGGTGCCCACCAATCGTTTCGAGTTCTTGCAGGCGGCTCTTTAAAATATTCAAAAAGTGCAAACAAAAAGTGTCAGTTGAATCGAATTACTGTTTTTGTCTTTTTTTTACTGTTAACAGTGACTGTTCCAGTCAACACCAAAATTATAAAAAGCTAACTCAAATCATTAATATTTAATCGATTGAAAATCGAACTTCTGCAATCACCGTTATCGCCATTATCGCAACATTTTTTTTAGTTTAAATACAAAATATTGAAAATCATTAAATATTTATTATTATCATTAGTTTTAGTACAATTAATGACAAAAAACTCTATTGGCATGCCACTCCAATTAATTGCATAACAGGTGAGTGTGATACAGTCTCTCTGCTTAGTAGAAAATAGTCCCTGTTTTTATATTCTGAATCCGAAAAGTACGAACCGAAGTATCGTAACCGTGTATTTAGAATTCCTTAAGAAATAACCCGAGTGGGTCACGGAAAAAACTAATTTAATTGGTAAGTGCATTTGGTAAAATCTTATTAAATGCGATATTGTTGTGATTTGTAAAGCTTTTGTTTAAATTTAATTTAATATTCATTTCAAATGACCCGCGTGAACCAACTGTCTAAGGAAGAGCAGATTAAAATCGAAACTATGGCTGATTGTGGCGTCAAAATCGGTGTTATTGCTAAAACAATAAACCGGTATCGAAATTCCGTCACAGACTTTTTTAGGTGTCTGCCAAAATTTGCTCAGAATAACCGTAATGAGGCTGTTTTGAGGTTTTCAATCGCTAAAATTTGGAGCTGCGCCCAAATTGAAGCACATGGCGAAAAGTCTCGGCAGCGGATGCAACAAATTTACAATAAGGTGTTGCATCTCCAATATGAGGCAAAGGTTTTGGGACAGAGAATTGGAAAAGGTTGAAAATTTCCAGTGATGAAAGTTGAATTTAGACGGCCCAGCTGGAAACCAGAAGAATTGTCGAGACCCGGCCCGGTCTGTGTCGCCTTTAGCGCCTTTAGCTTTGGTAAGTCTCGAATATGTTTTGTACCAGGTCGGATGAATGCGCTGATATATACGGATCTCCTCGAAGTGAACTTACATATATCCTTTGCGGAAAAGTTCCTTGGCGAGGCTTGGATGTTTCTGCATCCGTGGATCCGTGTTTAAATACAATTGAGGGCGAAACAAAATGATCTATTGCCTAAATAGTATATTGGCAATCGAATCCAACAAAAAAATTTAAATATTTGTATATTTCAATATTTGACTTTAATACCACCAGATCAGCCGTTTCGCCCACTGTGCTTTGTGGCATGCTGTCAGCCACAGGTTTATGGGGGTGGCCGAAAATTCGAGCCGTTAAAAGATTTAAAAAAAAGGCTATTGTCCAGGAATGGGCAAAAGTTGATAGAACGGTCATCCGAAACTTGGTAAAGTGTATGTATGAGTTTGAATAACATACATTTCGCGTGGCTTTACGTAGCCAAATAAAATGAAAAAGGACAAGTCGTTGAAGTTTGCGATTTCTTTTTGAGTAAGTTTTAGCTGAGGTGGAAATATTGTCACCCCACCTTAAAATAAATATAGCGGAGAGTTCGATTAACTCTTGAAACTCTCCGCTTGTATAAATTTCCTTCAGTTTCGCTTGAAAGAACTTTTTAGAGTGTCTGTGTTTCTGACAGGCTCACACTTCTCCGATTTTCTTTTAGCTTTTTTAAAATGTGACTTACCGCTACATGCGTCACTTTTCTGTACAAGCTCATATAGAGGGTACGAGTATAAATAGGATATGAGTATGGCACATGCCGTTAAACCTGTGTTCGGTGTCGTGTCAAAGCAAAGAATTTTTAGTCCACCTTCAAAAAATTGGAAGACTTTCTGCTTATAACTTCGTCAACGAAAGAAACATCCTTCTTCGCCGGGTTTCTTTTTTTCTTTATGGACCAATTTCTTATCCACACTACTAAAGCAGCCGAGTTTCCCTATTCTCTTTGGCACTGCCTCTTTCTATTCTTTAATTTTGATTTAAATTGTATTAGAAGGTCATGAAAATTAATTTATATTTCACTGATTTTTCTGCTGAATCGTTAATTCTTACTTTGATAACCTATAACACTTGGAAGAAAACCTAAACTTGGCTCGGTATATCTTTAGGAATAGCAATTGTATCGACACAAATTAAAAATCTTATGAAAGGTCAAAAAATTCTTCTTTCTATCCATTAATTTTTTTTGGATATCGGCGCTACAGATGCCGAGTTTAAATGATGAAACTTTGCAAAAGTCAATAATGCTTCGTCTAGTTATTTTAACAGAACTCAAACTATTCTGTCATTCTTTATAGAATATCACGTCAAATTGACGTGTATTCTGTATCTTCGACAACCGTTATTTCGAACACTCTGCCCCGCTCGTACTCGTGCTCTCATTTGCTCTCTTCTAAATGAAAATGTGCAAAGTATGAATGTCCATAATGCCACGTCGCACCTTGAATATTCTAATGGAGAATTCTTCGAATGGGAAACAATTGTGATATATTATGTATATTTACATACATATGCACAACCGTACATTATATTCGTATAATCTATATTAAAAGTAATTATACGAAATAAAAGTTCTTCGCGTATTGTATGAGGAAAAGCTTTCTCATAAATATTAAATATTCGTAACGAAAATTGCATAGGCTCTTTTTCACATCACAATATTATGCTTTTTTAGGTATTTTTCCTCCAAAATTTTGTCTTTTAAAGCCCGGAAAAAATGAAAAAAAAGAATTAGTAAATTTAAAAAAAACGAGGGGGAACGTTGTGAGTTGCTGCGGACACCGCAACTCTACGGTTATACCCGATACTAAGTCAGTATGGCTCTCCTCCGGCAGACGCCGCTAATATTTAACGACACGACAAAGAGTGCGTGCGAGAGAGACAGAAAATCAGTCTGAGCGTGACGTCGGGCGCTGCGTAGCCAATGCAAATTGATTTGTTCCTTTTGGCTATAAAAATGATCTGATCTGATCCAGATTCACCAATCTGATAGATATGGTCATTATCTATGATTCTGCGTTTTTAGTTTTCTCAAATCTGCAATATTGTGGATGCAACAGATTTTCGTCCTTTGTGGGG